TTTAGACTATAGCTCATGTTGAGAAAATGACGGCACGGGGGCTTTATGCAACACAGAGCCATCATACCACGAGCACTAGAGGCCTTTTTCCCGGGGAGTCTGGAAAAGGAGCCCCCACCCAACCGTCCAGGTTAGTTGACTGACATAGTCTTCGAGCTGATGCTCTAAGGACGAATACTGAGTCCAGATTCATTGAACATTATTATACTATAGTGGTTTCCATTTTGTTTTCCATTATCCCAAAATCACCCCAATCCTAAACCCTAAACCCTAAACCCTAAACCCTAAACCCTAAACCCTAAACCCTAAACCCTAAACCCTATATACACCAATAAATACCCTAGTATATAATGGGGTTTCAGCGTAGATCCAACCATGCACTCAGGATCCTGAAGCTTTACGCTCCCCAAACCCCAGGAAAACCCCCAAAACCCTACGAAACCCCCAATGTAACCCCTATATTAGTAGAACCCCTATATTATACCCCAATATAACCCCTATATTATACCCTCTAAACTCTCCAGAAAACGAAGCCCTGAGACTTAAGGATTCAATCCGGCTCTTCGACGGATTGACGGACAGCCAGAAGGAGCTTTTGCGAAGTTGTTCGGTCGATCACTTCTGAAGATGTGGGGCTTCGAGTATAGGGTGGAGTTTAGAGTCCACAGTTAAGCCTCTCCCAAATGAAAACTACACCCGAAAAGTATCAGACACTTGACAAAGGAATCAGGGCGGAGGGCCTTCGATGATTACTCTTAGCGATTTGATCAACCAAAAGGCTGCAATGCCTCAAACGGGCTTGCTGTCAAGGAGCTGAAATGAAGTTACCATCGCAAGAGAGCTGCACTATTTCCTAAACAGTGGGCTCAAGCCAGCGCGGCTCTGTGTTACGAAGTCCTTCTTCAGCAGCCATGCTTTCCTTGCAGATTGTCCTTGGGATTCATCTTGGGTTTTATGTGATGGTGATGAGTTCATTCCTGCTCGCGCTACGTTTTCGTGATGCAGGGTACCTCACCTTCCACGGCAAGATGGGTGATGATACAGTTCCGCAGCTTCTGTTCCCTGACCTGAACCTGAGCAGCAAAGCACAGCGAAGCCTGCTCTACGTGATGATTGTGTGTATGCTGTCAAACTGGATTGGTAGCTTTCATGCTTTCAACTCCTTGGACGCGGGCTATCGTGTTGCCATGCGGTCTCAATGCATGATGGTCCATGGCTTTCAGCCAATTCTGATGCTGGGGAATGGTCATTTGAAACTGAGGGAGGAGGGTGCTCGGTCATGGACTGCTCTTCACGGCACATTTGCAATGCTTTTTCTGATGGCGCATGGCAAGTGAGAAAAGGCCAACCATGAGACCGCCTAATTATGGCCTAGCCGAGGTTGGACTTCTATAGCTGGCTGGTTAATAGGAGGGGATAAAGGAAGGGAAAAGAAACTGGACACCACTATTTCCTGGAGGATTTGATAGGGTCTACAATAGGGGCTCATGCCTCCACTCCCAAATACCAACCAGGAAGAAAAGTAGCTCGTTTCTCTGTGCTCGCTGGGTTATGCTTCCAGGCATTGCTCAGGAGGCATACGATCTCCTACCCTGGTATGTTCTTATAGTCCCCCTTAGTTAGATAGAATATAATATAAGATAGTATAATGCATTATTCTATATAATGGCATACTATGGTCCCCCTTAAGTAGATCGAATATGGGGTATATGGGGATCTTACTATAATATACCCAAAACCATATCCTATCTACTTAAGGGGGACTATAAGCTCTAGTGTGACAAAGATGCCTAAATGTCTCAAAACCATGAGGCAGCCAGTGAGGCTTCACAGCCTGGGTGGAAGCTGGGATGTCTGAAAACTGCTTATTAGGATTCTTTTGGGCATGTATCTTTGAGCTCTCATGCGCACATGTATTCACATTCGAGGTAGCCGTAGCAGCCTCAGGCAAGGGGCATGAAATTGCCTCCTCCGTTGACCACCATCCCTTCTAGCAAGCAAGTATCGTGTTCATTGCTTGGGGAAGGCGCTGGCAGCCCCCCTGATACCTTATTCTGCAGGCTCTTGTGGACAAAACGTCCGTTATCCTAAAGTCTATGTGCTCCTGTAGGTCCATCATAACCTCCCAGGTGCGCGCAGTAATGATCCCCATGCCAGGGGATCTCCAGAAGCAGATTTGTAGGTTTTTAGGTGCACGCATGGGGATGAGTGATGCGGATGAACCACAACACGTGAAATGCGGAAACCTAAGCCAGGGCTTATTCTGGGCAGTCCTCACATCAATCCATACCCTGAACCCTTAGACCTAAACCCTAAACCCTAAATAGCAGTTTCCATTTTCTTTTCCATTACCCCTACATAATCCCTATAAGCCTGCTGGAGTCAATGGGGCTACAGGGAATATCTCGTATCTGGGGCATATGGCATATGCTTCGCTGCTTGTGCACCTCGCTCTTGCAAACTAGCCCAAACCCAACCCCTATATAGTATACTATATTGTAAGATATATAGCATAAGATACCTTCTTTTAGTACAATATACTATAATATACTACATTGCAAGCCAACGAAAACCCAAACCCCAAACCTTCAACCGGACTTACGCAGGAGAAAGCTGCCGAATCAGCGTTCAAGGAGGTTTTTGAGACTGGCGCGAGACTGGTGTCTTGCAGAGAAAGCAGATCCAATCCCACAAGAAAGTATGAAGTTCACCGGAGGTTGAAGAATTACGAAGTTCTAGCTGCTGGCCTTGTTTACATGGGCAATTTTATGTAAGCGTGGCTCTACATGGATTTCGAATTTCAGGTTGAGTTTGGCTGCGGAAAAGGGACGTAAGAATCACACTGTGCTACAGGAGGCATGAGGCAGTACCCCTGCATCCTCTCTTGCATCGGCCTCTGAGTCAATGTAGTCGTTTTGTTAGAGTACACAGTCGGTTGGGACTCTCCAGTAGTAAGATAAAGGTACCAAAGAAGAAGCCACAGGAGGAGATTTCAGCGGGAGTTTGCCAAAACGATCCCTACATAATCCTCAAGCGGGGCCTCCATGCTCTCCTTGTAGTCCCCTTCTTAAAGCCAGTTTGGACAAGCATTGTTTTGCATGGCGGTGTAGCAGCGATCCGCGGGTGCATGCACGGATCCTACATCTGAGAAAACGGATGCAGAGTAGGAGCAGGACGATTGTGTGGTTGTGCAGTAGTAGCACGAGTAGTCGGAGCAGCAGTAATCAGTTCCTGCTACCAGCGCCACCGCCACTGGCACCGCCGCTTCTGCTGCTACTGTTGCTTCTGTTGCTACTGTTGCTACTATTGCGACGAGCCCAACTACAACCAGGACAGTGAGGATGACGTGAATTCTCAGGTCACCTCCGGCGATGATCTGGCGGCCATCTACTTTGTCAAGAAGGGCGAGCTTCAAGTCATGAGAGGCCTGTAGGTCTTGGAGTTTAGGGTTTAGGATTTGCAGTGTCCTTGCTTGGCGGAGGCTTTGGGGGGAGGCACAGGAGACACCCCATTGAGAAAACTTAAAAGCTTTGTAGTGCCCCTTAAGTAGATAGAATATGGCTTTGGGTATACTTAAATAAGATCCGCATATACCCCATATTCTATCTACTTAAGGGGGACTATTTCCCTAAACCCCACAAAGCGGGCGCCGGCCTAGCTCAGCCACTGTCCCGGCAGGCGGAAAAGTCCGAGCGGATGGCACCTTCGTCGATGGCCAGGCAGGGGCCGAGTTCGGTGGGTGGATCCCGGGTTTTCGGGTTTAGGATTTAAGGTTGAAGCCTTAGCATCTTGGATGTAAGCGCAGAGTTTTGGATTTGAAGTTTAGCGTTTTGGATGTCGTGGTCATCATGCCAGACAGTTTGGAGACTTGTAGGGGCAACCAGGCGGAGCTTGCCATGCACACAATGTGGGAATTTCCCAAAATTAGGGGTACCATTTTAGGGGTCCCAATAATAAGGACTGTAGTATTTTGGGGTCTATATTGGGGTCCCCCTTATTTTGGGAAACTACCATGTTTTGTGCCCATGCACTAAAGCAATCAACAACAGGTGTCTCCTATCAGTGTCTCTCAGTCGTTTGAATGTATCAGGGGCATAAATTTGCAGAACAATGCCCTTACCTGTAGATTGACGTTCCTTTTCAGATACAAGGCTGGCGAGACGGGACATGCGTCAACACCCTCTACAGAAACTTACCAAGGGGTGGAAAGACGCAGAGATGTATCAGAAACAGAGCTTTCAAATTTCCTGGTTCAGAACAAAAATGTCAGAAAACTTGACTCCACAACATTCACACTCTCTCAGAAGATCGTCATCCTGTCATACTTCTACATATCCCTAGAATTCTCTAAGAGCCAGCTAAGCTAATTCGAGAAACTGCAGAATCAACTCTCAGGCCCAAGACCGAAACCCCATAGCCGGTTTCCTAAAACTAGGAGTACGTTTTTGGGGGTCCCTTTAGAATAAGGATTATAGTATATTGGGCTCTAAATTGGGGTCCCCTTATGTAGTACCATATACTAGACACCATGTTTTTTTCTGCAAAAGAGGTTTGGCCTCAAAGCCGGCACCCACACAGCATGCAAATTGACCTGGGGTCCTGGTAAACAACTGTGCTTTCAAAGAGAGCTGCATGAAGCTCCATGTTGGTTTGGGGGCTAAGGAAGCACTGCACAGAGGTTTGGCCCCAAAGCCCAAGCCACCATGAACGAAATCAGAAATGATGGAATCAAAGGCCCCCTTGTCGTAGAAGTTAGGAAGTACTGCAAAAGATTAAAGAGGTCGTAAACACTCTGGGACCTGGCAACTCGCTGGGAGAGTCCCTTCTGTCGGGTGCTTCAGGCCAGGCTTGGGCAGCCAGGGATTTAGGAATTTAGGGTTTAGAGTTCGGGCTTTCGGGTATCATTAGGATGTTGGGTCGAGGAGTTGAGGTTTGGGTCTCTGATGGTTGGAGGGTCCAGAGCTTTGCGCTGGGGTATGGATGGCTTTGGGACAAGCAGGAGCAAAGAGTGGGCAGAGTTGGGGTCTTGGGTAGTTTCCAAAAATCAGGGTCCTATTTTGCTATTAGGTGCCCTAATATCATCTACAACCAACATGGGCCCATAGTTTGGAGAACAAGCCTCTTGGGGGTCAAAGGGGTCTCTTGAGTTGAACTTCTGAGCCCCTATCTGGCATCTGGTTATAATACCAGTACAGGTTTTCATGGGGATATAGGGATTATATAGTATATAGGGACTGTATAGGGATATTCTAATGGGGGTTATATAGGGATTTTATAGTAGGGCCCAGCGGGATTCGCATCCCTAAGAGTACCGGATTCTGCCTCGTGGAGCTTCCAGGCATTCATGTCCCAGGGTTTATGGTTAGGGGCGTGCAGCTGCCTGGAACGATCATCCTAATAGGCGAACCATGGCCTGCCTGTAGAACATGATGTGCCCTCAAACAAGGAAGACCTTCAGTCCAGCTCCAGAAGACCCTCTGTCTGAGGGAGTCCTGAGGAGATACACGTCATTCCCCTACCTTTAAGTACTGAATGTTCCCTGGTAGAGATCTTGTATTTTGGTGGATGTATGCAATGGGGGGTGAAGTTTGCAGGAGTGGAACACTTCATAGTTCTTATTATTATGACATGTCAGTCCTTCACCCAAAGCCTGCAATCGTCGGGTGCCATTTGTCATGTTCTGCAAGCTTGGTGCACATGGAACATGGTAGGGGATAGTAGGTGTGTCTGTCTGGATTTTTTTTTTTTGCGACGCCTGTTGCTCCGTTCTTTCACGACTTTGGCTCGTTGGTCGATTGCGTGTCTGTAGTCCGTAGTGTTGCATGTACCCAAAAGTCGTATCGCTCCGCGCGCACCGCTATATGGTCATGTGATGCGATGGCCGTTAATAGCGTCACAACCTGGTTTGATGACAATTGCCGCCACTTCCACTTAACTTCTGCTACCCCTCCATCTGCTTAAATAAAGCTTTGTATGCAATAGGCTGCTTCCTCCACTATAAACTATTGCCATAACCACCATCATCATCATGGTACGGACCCTTTCTTCTGCGCCTGCTGCAAGGTGCCGGCGCCAGGTGGGAGCACACCGTGGTGGCATCGAGTAGCTGCGAGGTGCCGATGCAAAATAGCTCCACTGGAATGAGACCCCCACATCGTCACCTTTTTCGTTCAAGTTTCACACCTATAAAGAGCGCCACAAACTGACACTTTGTTTTTGCGAACTGGGCTCCGCCTGTCAAAGTTCGTGCAGCATCTGCCACCGTGAGCTGGAGCTAGTACTGGGGCATGAGAAGCCGGAAGCACATCTGTCTAGGTTCGACTTGCGCTTCAACTTTACCGCCCTCCGCCTCCATATCCCAACCTCAGTTGGGTTCATGCGGGTGACCTATAGTAACGAGTGGTGGCAGAGCTTTCGGGCTTCAGTACCCGGCGGCCACCTACACCCAGCCCCTGCGCACCAACAGCCCAAAGCCTCCTTGTAAACCCTCAGCGGAGACCCCTCCTCAAGCCCTCGCCCCCATAAACCCTCATTCCTGTGAAGTCTATACATCTCTCGCAGGCCTAGCATCCCCAAAGCCCTCAAAACTTTACCTGACCCTAAACCCTAAACCCTAAATAGTAGTTTCCATTTTCTTTTCCATTATCCCAATAAAACACCCATATTCCATCTACTTAAAGGGGACTATAACCCTAAACCCTAAATAGTAGTTTCCATTTTCTTTTCCATTCTCCCAATATAACACCCATATTCCATCTACTTAAGGGGGACTATAACCCTAAACCCTAAACCCTAAATAGTAGTTTCCATTTTCTTTTCCATTATCCCAATATAACACCCATATTCCATCTACTTAAGGGGG